GATGATTTTTCTAATGTATTACCCACATTAAAGTATAAATGCGGTAAAACTTAAAAACCAAACAAAAGCGTGTACTGGCGTCCTTGAGTTTAAGGTTAAAGTAAAGAACTTGAGAAAATAACGAGCTCTCGTTACAAGCGTAGGAAAGTAGCAGCGGTCAGAAGAAATTACAAGTAGGTAACTTTAATTGCGCATAAAAAAATTAATTATTTCCATACATTGAAACATAAAACCCATAGAGTTTTAGTATATCAATGATTGCATAGCTTTCACTCATCGAATGTAAAGACTGTAAAGATGAAGGGACAACTGCGTAGAGAAGACACCGAATCTATACTAATAAATGGAGAGCAGACTTTTTTGTTCGATTATACTGCAATAACTACTGAACCGATCGGAATAATACTCATATCATAAGATGCAACGTGTTTCGGGGAAGGTTTTAGTATATGATATGTTGGTGATTAATGTACTAAGCGGCGGAGCCGCAGGAAAACGCTAGTATAGAATAAATAATATGTTGGGACATTAACACATAGCACCATCTAGTTGCATGATATTAGGAGGCTTGTGTTATGGATACCAGATTGTTGATACACTACACATATAGAACTTTAAATACATACATATTATAAATATAAACAATCTCATCACACAAATGAGTGTCCTTAGCGGACTCGAACTCGCAACTGCTGGCACAGCAAGTATCACTACTAACAGAGCCAAAAATATCGTAGTAAATATTCAGACCAAAGTTATTATTGTTTAAAGTCACTATGTTATATTACGTTGAATCAAATTCAAATTAAGAGCTGAGGCGACGCCTTGAGCGGGGTCGATGCCATCATGACATGTCGCTTGGTAATTTTGATTGATCTTGGTGCATTGATGTTGGTTATTGGAGTGTTGTGTGTTGAAGATCGGTGTCAAGAACCTCGTGCTCAATTAAACTATTAGAATTATCGTTTCAAGTTTATAATATTATGAATTCCCTTATAAAATTGCATTGAATAATTTACTTTGTTCCCGCATTAAGCCATGTTAACACCCATAAGATTCGTAACCACTAACGATGATATCGAAAGAATATGGATACTCCGTCATATATTTTTTCCATAGATATTTTTAACATAAGTAATATTATGCTACTTAAATAAAACATTAAAAAGTAATGAAGAAACTCACATCTATGTATATAACTATTATCTGTATAGTATTAGAGCGAGTAAATTAAATGATTATATATACATCCGTATTAATATTATAAATATGAAAGTTTGTGAGTATGTATGGATGTTTGTTACTCAATCAAGCCAGAACGGCTAAGCGGCTGAACGGATTACAGTCTGGAATAACACATAAGCTATGTATTATATATTTTTTATCCCAGAAAAATGTACAGTTCCCGTGGGATAAGTTTTCGTTTTGCTAGAGGCGAACCCAAGTGAAGCGAGCGTGAGCCGCTATTAAGTCATAATTATACTCTACATATTACTAAATAATACATATCTAAAAAAGTGTATAAAAATACATATTGCATATGGATCAGTTGTGTGTTAAGCTATCATAAATGAAAAAAATGCTCTCATTGAAACAGGCCAGTTATTAGTGCCGGAACACTCGTGACTCGTGAGTGGACCATACACGTGACTTACTAGCAAATAATTGGGCAAGTCGTCAGTCGTCGACGCGGTCTCTTAACAATGTTGTGCAACGCAAAAATGTACCACGGCTTACATTAGTGAATTTATCTCGTATAATAATTATATTTTTCTTTAAAATTTCAGGATGCTAAAGCTATTTTTCGAAACTCGTAGATTAGGATACAAATTCTAGATATAAGAATGGTCTTTAGAAACGTAAAACTATTAAAAACCGATTTTAATATATTTTTACAGAATAAGTTCTTCGGGAATAATCCTGTAAAAATCTGTATATATATAGTATGTATAAATATTATAAATGTGAAAGTTTGTAAATATGGATATTTCTTACTCTTTCACGCCAGAACGGCTGAACGGATCTGGATGAAATCTGGCACAGAGGTAGATTATAATGTGGAATAACACATAGGCTACTTTTTATTCTAGAAAAATGGACGGCTCCCGTGGGATAGGTTAGTTTCTGTTTTCTAGAGGCGAACCCAAGCGAAACGAGGGTGAGCCGCTAGTTTTAATATGAAATTCTGCCCGTAAGGATGATTTGGTTAACTATTTCTTGAATTCGATGCATTTTTTTTATTTGCTCCCAAATTTTGCATACTATTCAAATCAAAACGACAAGTGACAACTAAATGCATTTCCCTGTATGATCAGTAGCTTAAGACAAGTAAAGCTCTATTTCTTAAAAATAGACAAAAATTACTAAAAGATAAAGGTATCACATAGGTATATCTTTTCGACATCAACCTTAATAAATACGAGTGCACAAATTCACGTGCTCGACCAACACGTGCTACCGAAACCGTCTGGCAACGTGATGTTGGAAACTAACCAGTTTTTATGCAACGCTTCGGCTGAATGCAATCTGACCAATAAACATTGTGCTGTGGCAGACGTTAATAGAGTGAAGCACGATTTAATTAATGACTGGCCGTTACACGCGGCTTCGTGCTTACCTTAAACCAATTTTCTTCATATATAATGAGTATTAAACCACGTTTAATTTCATATTTTAATGCTACTGGAATCCTTTTCTATGCATAAAAGACAAGTAGCCCATATTGTTCTTAACAGATCAGCCAGGACCAGGATACAGACAAACATTTGACAAATTTAAATAAACGGATAAAGCCATTACTTAACTAAATAGTAAATATCTAAAATATGTACTACGGATGGATACTAGTTCCTTCTAAACTATATTAAATTGTGTGTGTGGGTGTGTGTGTGTGTGTGTGTGTGTGTGTGTGTGTGTGTGTGTGTGTATTCAACCCTTTTTAACGTCCCACTGCTGGGCACGGGCCTCCTTTCAATATGAGGGGATCAGGCCATAGCCCACCACGCTGGCCAATTGCGGGTCGGCGGACTTCACATGTCTTTCAAAAACTTGTTAGGTTCTATCAGACATGCAGGTTTCCTCACGATGTTTTTCCTTCACCGTAATGCAAGTGGTAATCATGTTAGAAATGATTCGCGCATGAGAATATCAGAGGTGCGAGACCCGGGATTTGAACTCGCTTCACTGGGTTTCCCAAGCGAGCGCGTTACCACTGCCTTTTTGTAATTTGTACTGGGCTACCACTGCCTTTTTTATATTAAATTGTTTTTACAAAATAGATACTAAATTTCATATCATGTAAAAAGATAAAACAATTCAGTACAATTTTCTCCTCTGTTTGTTAACTGTTTTTTTGGGTTGGTAGCTGTTGACGATATTTAGTATAATTAGTTATAGAAAAGATATTTTTTTTATATAGATAGGTAAATTCTATTCATATAATATATTTTTGTCAAATTTTCAATAACGATTGTGGTCGAATTTCGTCCACTGGGCGAACATATATCTATATAAATAAAAATGAATCACCGAAATGTACTATTTAATACTTTTTTTGTGTATGTCAGGGCAAGTTTTGTTTATAAAAAAATTTAAATTTTTTTTTTTTACTAAAATAAGATTTTTTTAAACCTGTTTTTATCCCGGAAATTATCGCTTAAGAGGGTTAAAATGGGGATGAACGTTTGTATGTGGAAGCAAGTTAGTTAGCTTTATAATTGAAGCAATATCATCTCAGTCTTTTTTTGCAAAGAATCTCCAAATGCTGCAATGACAGACAATATCTATCTTTGCCAACTGTAAACCGATATTAATAATATAAAAAAAGTATTTAGTTATAACTAAAGGAAGGTCACATAATACATTTCATAAAAAAATTCCACCTAACCTTGGTATAACTACATTTCAAATAATATTGAAGTCGGTGACCTTTTTATTAAAAAAGTTATTACACTATTTAATCGACACATTACATTTATGCAATGATAACAACATTAATATTATAAATGTGAAAGTGTGTTTGTTTGTTTGTCCTTCTTTCACGTCGAAATAGAGTGACGGATTAACGTGATTTTTTGTGTGGAGGGAGTTGGAGGGCTGGAGAATGACTTTGACAGAAGTTTAAGAAGTATTTCACCGCGGAAGGTCATCTCATTCCCACGGGAAAACACGTTATAATACAATCCAAAAAAATATTTATGATCAGAATTACTTGAAACTGGGATTTAATGCTCTTCAATACAATTAAATAAATACGTATTTTAGAATTTTTCAAAATTTATCACATAAGAGGGTAAAATAGGGGATGAAGCTTTTAATGAAACCTACTTTTTTCGAGTTTTTAGGGTTCTATACCTCAAAAGATAAAAAACGGAACCCTTATAAAATCACTCTCTTGTCCGTCTGTCCGTCTGTTTTTCTGTAGATTTAGCGGGAGCGAAGCAGTTCTGCTAGTGTCATATAAATGAGAACCATACGCCATACTTTCATATAAAATGGGAGCTATATTTACTGAATATGGATTCTAATTAAAATATGTACATATATGTCTGAATCTACATATATACCAATATTATAAAAAGTAAAGTTTGTGAGTTTGTGACGTTGTAGGGGGTAATCTCTGGATCTACGGAACCGATTTAGATAAAATTTGGTAAGAAGATAGTTTTAGACCCTGGGAAGGACATAGTACTTTTTAGTCTGGAAATCATCCCTTAAGGGGGTGAAAACGGGGATGAAAGTTTGTAATGGGAAGCAAGTTAGACGAATCCGAGCGAAGCGAGGGTGAGTCGCTAGTATAAGAATATAAGAATGTATTTCTTAGATTTAGGCGAATATTTGACATTTCAAATGAACCTATATTTTCCGGTTTTGTCACGGTTTATTTTATACTTTTGTTCTCTACGTTTCGAATGCTTTACAGTACTTAAACATGACATGTGAAAAGATTCTTTCATTTAAAATATCAGGCATATTACAAAAGTTAAGCAAAGTTAACTTACGGATGGATATTTCTCTAGTTCGTGCAACACAGTGTGGTCGCAGTACTCGAACACCAGGTGAAGTTTACGCTTACGGCGGAATACTTCGATTAAATTAACGAGGTTCGGATGCTTTAGATTCTGAAACAATAACATTACAGTCATACTTTACATTCTACTTAAATAAAACTATAAACATTTGCCAATGTTTGAACTCCCGATAAGTGAAATTGTTCCCGTGTGATATTATTAAATAAATTGCCCAATTTCACTGCAGAATTACCCTAGAAGTGCAAGGCCTAACCAAATTAAGGGGAAAACGATTCGCTTGCCCTCGCTTGAGTGTGTCCCTAAGTACGTTTTTTTGAGCGGAACCCTAATTCTTTTTCTGAAATAAAAGTAACCTAAGTTGCTCCTTTTAACATCAGTTATCTACCAATGAAAGTCCCGTCAAAATCGGTCCCGTCAAACCGGAAGATAGCCGGAACAAACAGACAGACAAAATTTTTCAAAGTGGTATTTTTATATAATTCCATATGCATTTAGTAAAAAGCTCTTATTTTGACATTATAAACAGTTAACAGACACTTCAATTTTTATTTATCTGTATCGATTAACAGGTAGGCTACATGCCTATATCACGAGCGGAGTCACAGACAAAAACTAGCTTTAAATATCTACCTACATGCATATCAATTATGCCATTTAATACCAGTGTCATTTTGCAATTTTGACGTCGACCTTCATTTTAATGCATTTGCTAGTTTTACGAAATTCATAAAACAACAACATGTAACGTACCTAATACTTTCTTAGATTTACGCGAATATTTGACATTTTAAATAAAACTATCTTTTCGGATTTTGTCGCGGATTTATTTGCATTTTTGTTTCCCGACGTTTCGAATGCTTTACAGCATCCATCGTCACGGGAGAGACTTGAGGTGTTGGATGTCTCGAAGGTATAGTTGTTACAGACAGCCTACCCACAAATAACAAAATGAAAATTTCACCAATTACCTTACAATATTTTTTAACTTTAAACATTTTTATAATTTTAATTAGTTTTATAATTGAATATGGAATTTTATTTATTTAATTTTGCTGTTATTATTATAATTATTACAATTTTAAAATATTAATCAGTAATCTGTATTTAGTGTCTATTTAAAACATGTAACATTTTAACAACATATAGAATATTAAACGATTTGAATAATTAAGCTTTATAAAGAGGTTTGTAAGCGGAATATAAATAGGGTACCTATTGTTTTCTACGAGAGCAAAAAACCTGTTACTATTATACAAAGATAAACTTTAACGAATGGCTATGACGCACTTTCATGTAGAAATCGTACCCTTGACAAGTCTCACGGAAGGTGAGTTCTTCCTTGAAACAATAACTTCAAAGTCTCCATCAATGGCAACTAAAAATAAAAATTATGTGTATGTTGTATCGACGTAAGGATTGTTCAAAATCTATAAAAATAAGTATGAAACGCTGTTCGTTGGTAAACACGTCACTTGAACAAGGCTGGACTGATTTGGCTGATTTGTTAGTTAAAATATCCATACTTCCATACATTTAATATTATAAATGTGAAAGTGTGTTTGTTTGTCTTTCTTTCACGTCAAAACGGAATGACGAATTGGTGTGATTTTTGGTGTGAAGGTAGTTGGAGGCTGGGAGAATGACGTAGGCTACTTTTATCGCGGGATATCATCTCATTCTCACGGGCAAACACGTTATAATACAATCCAAAAATGTATTTCTGATCAGAATTACTTCAAAACTATATATTAATGCTCTTCAATACAAATAAATAAATACGTGTTTTAGCATTTTTCGAAATTCATCCCATACGGGGGTAAAATAGGGCATGAAAGTTTGTATGAAACTAACTTTTTAGAGATTTTTTTGTAGTTTTAGCGCGAGCGAAGCTGCGAGTTCTGCTAGTCTTTCATAATTACATATTATATATATAAACAATTTGCCAAAAATTACGCCAATCTGTCATTCCCTTTCCACGTGAAAGAAGGAAAAACAAACAAATAAACTCATTTTCAAATTTATAATATTAGCATGGATGTAAGTACTATGTCATGGGTATTATAGTGGGTAGCATTTACGGCTGCAGATCGAAAGGTCCTGGGTTGGAATCCCGAGTCGGGTTTAAATAGTTTTTCTTTTATGAAATACTATTTGTCGCAGCCTGGTTATATGTCCGTTTGTTTAGTTTATCATTCATGGACGCTCCGAGCACAATAAGACCCATCGATTATATAGCGCTATATATTCATTACAAACCTTTAGCATGCGTATTTCTCTAAGAGCAATTTTGCGTATAAGCGGATCATCTTCGTTCTCCACAAATTTCTTTACGGCAACGATCTCGCCCGTGTCCCGGTTGCGGCATTTGTACACGAGGCCATAGGAACCCTCACCGAGCTTCGCCAGTTTCTCATATCTCTCCATAGCGCGACTGCTTGCCCTTGATCTGTTGAAAAAGAATTAATTAAATGCATATGTATGATTCATCTACTATTTAAAATTCTTAAAAAGATTCTATTATCAGGAACAAAAACAAAATTAAATGTCTGATAAAACAAAACTTGTAATTTTATTAAAGTGGCCAAACACAAGTTACCAGTCGAGTGGGACTCGAAGGATTTCAAGTACATTGATTATTATAAGATTTTATGTTCTAAGTTACAATATATCCAGATGTTAGACCGTAATCACAAATGACACAATACTTTACGTTATACGAATGTGAGACTAGAAAAATAAATAAAAAGGTATCACTACATATTACAAAATAAAGTCCCCCGTCGCGTCCGTCTGTCTGTCTGAACGCGATAAGCTCAAAACTACCGAACGGATTTTCATACGGTTTTCACCAATAGATGGAGAAGTTCATAAGAAAGCTTAAGGCTGTATAATTCGTTAAGGTTTTGTGTAAACTGGTTGAAATTTAACGATGATTGATGAAGATCTCGGATAAGTCAAGTAAACTAATAAAAGTTATATGAAAACAAAGTATTCAGCCCTTTTTCCCACTGCTGGGCACGACAACACGAGGGGAATCAGGCCATAGTCCATTACGCTGGCCAAGTGCGGGTTGGCGGACTTCACATATCTTTCGAAAACTTGCTAGGTTCTCTCAGACATGCAGGTTTCCTCACGATGTTTCCCTTTACTGTAAGGCAAGTGGTAATCATGTTAGAAATGATTGACACATGAAAATATCAGAGCTGCGAGACCCGGGATTTGAACCCGCTTCACTCGGTTTCCCAAGCGAGCGCGTTACCACTGCATTGAAAACTATGTATTACAGAATTATTCCTTTTAAAAATATCTTCCTTTTAAACTGCAGCAATGCTATGTGCATGCACTGAGGGACGCACTCGAGCGAAACAACGCTAAGGCATTAGTTCATTTATAATTTCCGATCTGTTCCGTAAAGATTCATATTAAGGATTTATTTAAGAACTGGGCGTGTAGTGACATTGAAATCCTTTCGAAATTCCTCACACCTGCTAGGTAAGTACTATATTATTCATATTCATGGCTATCGAGTATCGCACTATCACGTTTTAGTAAATAAGGGTTGTAGGTTTGATATTATTAATACGTAATTTAATCTTTTTACTTTTACTTTTTATATATACCTTTTTTAGTAAGCATAGAAATACTCATAATATCTATACAGATAAATAAAATAGAAGTGTCTGTTAGTAATGTCAAAATAAGAGTTTTTTACTAAATGCATATGAAAGTATATACGGTACCTACTTATAAGAAAAGCACAATTTTTAAATATTTTTTTCTGTCTGTTTGTTTCGGCTAATCTCCGAAACGGCTGAAATGATTTATAAATAAATGTTACAAATAAATGGTACATCGCTAGTACCTAAGTCATAAGATTATATTATACATACATATATAGACAGTAAACTCGAAAAGTATTCCGTTACATATACATACATACATTAACTATAGACTTTACTTTAGGTATCCCGTTTCAATATCACACATAAGTGACATACTGACATAATATAGCTGTTACTTTTTGTTAATGTATTGAGTGGATAGTGAAATACTGCAATAATTAAAGTATGAGATCTGAATCCAAAAACGTATTCGGTGCATGTTCAAAATATCCTTAGGTATATCAATGACGTTTAAAACATGATTCATATAGGGACGAGTGACGAGAGTTAATCGACAAAAGAAATATAATATACATATTAGATATAGTATCGAAATATTTAACATACTCGTACATGATTCATTGTTCTAAACATGGTCATGATGCTAACGGCAATTTAGTTTTTTTCCTCGTTTATTTAAAGATTAATGATAACGGTTTATATCTATACTAATAATATAAAGAGGTAAAGTTTGTGAGTTTGTAAATTTTAAGTGGGTTTGTGAATTGTGAATTTGTGACGTTGTAGAGGATAATCTCTGGATCTACTAAACCGATTTAGATGAAATTTGGTAAGAAGATAGTGTGAGACCCTAGGAAGGACATACCCATTTTCACCCCCTTAAGGAATGATTTCCGGATACTTTTTATCCCGGAAATCATCCCGTAAGGGGGTCAAAATGGGAATAAAAGTTTGAATGGGGAATCAACCTATTCTTAATATAATTGTTTAAAATATTAAGGCTGTTACGTCATTATTACGTAATATTTATATGAATGTCCATTATTACATAATATTTACTGTTTATTTTATCTATTGTGATACAAAAAAAGTGGAGGTATAATTTGATTATGATTGAATTCAAACATTACCTTAATGAGAAAATGGTACTACTATCTAATTAGTATTATAGGAAAAAACACCTTTACTCATAAATGCACATAATGTCTATGAAATGTATTTAAATGTAGATTTTTTTTAAGAATTCTGTGTAGAAAGTTATTGTCAAGAGGTTTCATATATAAGGGACTAGTGATTAATTATCATAGTTTTGTTTTCAAATACACCAATTGTACAGTAAAAAAGTAATCTATTTTAGTTTCCATTTTATCAAGTGAAGGGTACAGGCAAAAAACAGTTTTTTTTGTACTGGTAACGAATCTATGTCTATGGTACTTGCATTCCCAACTACTAATTTTTACAAATATTCTACGGATGTCGCTAAAATACGTTTTTATCTATGCCCAAAGCGAAAAAAACTGGAAATGTCCATGACATACCGGTAAAGGCGGAAGATTGACCAAAAATCTACATAGTAAAAAGTTATTGCATACTTTGTATACCTATACATAAAAATATTATAATTTCTAAACTTTAAATCGCATTTTTCTCATCTATTCATTAGAACATTTCCTGTTCTTAACCTGTATCCTTCAAGTGCTTTATCACATCACTACACAGTATAAAATAAAGTCGCTTCCCGCTATCTATCTGTCCATATGTATGCTTAGATCTTTAAAACTACGCAACGGATTTTGATGCGGTATATATATAATTTGTTAAGTTTTTGTATAAATTGGCTAAATTATAACGATATTTGTTGGAGGTGTCGAAAAAAATAAAACGGCTGGGAACTTTCAACGAAAACGCTGCCTAAATCCTTTGAGATATAACAAAATTACGTGAGGTGGAATTGCGTATCTTATATAGGTCTACAGAAAAGTCCGCGATGGCATATGACTATTACATGAACGAATTAACCACAATTCGTTCATGGTCTATTACTATATCCATTTTAATTTAAAACTAGGGACGAGCTCGAGCGAAGCGAGAGTAAGTCGCTAGTTAGGTACAAAATAAACATAATAGAGTTTTTAACTATTTATATCTTAATTATATATATTTATATATATTATTTATAATATGTATGTATTTAAAGTTATATATGTGTAGTGTATCAACTATCTGGTATCCATAACACAAGCATTGTAGCTTACCATGGAACCAGATGGTGCTGTGTGTTAATGTCACATATTAATGTAACTGTATTGAAGCAGTTGTGACATTCGTAATTAAAAGATGTAGAGTTAGAAAACTACTTGTTAGCTCAACATTTTTTTTTCAATTTTATAAGTGATAACTTTACCTTGCGGACACAACATAAGGCGATACAATGGATATATTGATTTCTCCCTTCATCGCTGTCACTGTAATTTCATCTCTAAACCAATGAAGTAAATAATATTTTATGTTGCAAATGAATATTGATTCTCTGCCATAATTTATGTAGGTATGATGTGGGTTAAAAAGCTGGTAAAAAGTACCGTTAGCTTTTCATAACCAAATCGGAAAAACGGTGTTTCTTCTTGTATTGACAATTGTTTCTTGACATTTCATATATCATAAATTAAGCATATTTTATGCAGCAAGAAGTATATTATAGAGTAGATGCTTTGATATGAAAATTCTAGCATTAGGTAAATACGTACATCCATACTTAATATTATAAATGTGAAAGTGTTTGTTTGTTTGTCCTTCTTACACGTCGAAACGGAATGACGGATTAGCGTGATTTTTTGTGTGGAGATAGTTGAAGGACTGGTAAGTGACATAGGCTACTTTTTACCGCGGGAAAATGTCTAATTCCCACGGGAAAATACGCTATAATACAATACAAAAAAATATTTATGATCAGAGTTACTTGAAACTTGGTATTAATGCTCTTCAATAAAATTAAATAAATACGTGTTTGAGAATATTTCGAAATTCATCCTATAAGGTGGTAAATTAGGGAATGAAAGTTAGTATGAAACTACAAAAAAATTCTGTTCTGTTAGTATTATATGTACGTACAATGTACATTGTACTATACATATTATGCACACACTACACTCGCAAGTCGCGACAAGCTGCCATTTCTTGGATATTATTTTTTCTTCGATATCTTATAACTAAAACATTTCAAACGCTAGACATACAGTGTACCTAGTAATAACTTACTTATAATAATTTAAATTGCACGTGCTTATCAAAAATATTTTGAACTTAAAAAAACACCTGCGTCGTGGAAGCGTTCATTTTACAGCTAAAGTAAGATATATGTAGAATAAATAAGCATCCCATTAATATTATAAATGCGAATGTTTGTATGGATGGATGTTTGTTACTCAATCACGCCAGAACGGCTTATCGGATTCGGATGATATTTGGCACAGAAATAGATAGCGGGAAAATGTACGGTTCTCGTGGGGTGCATTTGTTTTTGTACCGTTGTTTTTGTTTTTAACAGAGCTTCTGCGGTGTAGAGGAAGATGTACATCATTTCTTAGTGGAATGTTTTCTGCCGCACAACCACTCTGTGGAACCAGCTATTGCCGGCGGTCTTTCCGAACTGCTACGACCTGGCCACCTTCAAGAAGAGAGCGTATTCATTCCTTAAAGGCCGGCAACGCATCTGCAAGCCCTGCGGTGTTGCAGATGTCCATGGGCGGCGGTGATCACTTCTTCAGGTGAGCCTCCTGCCCGTTTTCCCCTTTAGTCACATAAAAAAAAATGTGTTCGTAACGCTGATAGGAGACAGGAGTTGATGCGCCGCACCATTTTAACGTTTGCTGGAATAATGTGAAACTTTTTCAAAGCCCACTGTCTAAACATGACTCAGAGATAGCAAAAACTATATATAACTTTAAGTTAAAATGAGTTATATTTAGAGGTTTTCGCTAGTATTATTAGCGGTATAAATGTATTAAGGGAACGATGGGACTGATATTTAGCTGTGTTGCTAAGAAGTCCCTAAATAAAAATAGAATTAAAAAAAACACAGCTTCGACGTTTAAAGCGTATCTAGGGACGAACCAGAGCGAAGCGAGGTTAAATCGCTAGTAAAAAATAAATTATGACTGACTGTGCTATAAAAACAATATAACAAAAGTGTTGTAACAAAATTATGCATAGTGTACAATATGACGTTTGGCTCAGTTTGTACTGACCCTACTTGCTGTGCCAGCGGTCGCGGGTTCGAGTCCCGCTAGAGGCATTCATTAGTGTGATGAGCACGAATGTTTGTACTCCAGTCATGGGAGTTTATATTTATAATATTACATATGTATTTAAAGGTATATATGTGTAGTGTATTAACTATCTAGTATCCATAACACAAGCCTCGTAGCTTACCATGGAACTAGATGGTGCTGTGTGGTAATGTCCCGACATATTTATTTTATATTTATTTAATATATGGCTATATCAGACACTGGCCCGTGATTACTAAAGACAAATAATTTGTTGCATGAAGTAGGTACAGATATTCTTACTTAGTATGTGGATTACAATAATTACTGATAATGATTATAACATAAGTTAATTACTGACGTTCAAGCATGTATTTAGGAGACATAAAAAAATCATTCGAGTTGAAAATAATAAGAAACGTATTATTATTTCTTTACTTAGTAATGAAATTCAAAATATTGAAGTATAATATAATCTATACTAATATGTATACTAATTATAAAGAGGTTAAGTTTGTGAGTTTGTGACGTTGTAGAAGGTAATCTCAGGATCTACGATTTAGATAAAATTTGGTAAGATAATAGTTTGAGACCCTGGGAAGGACATAGGATATTTTACCTAGGAAATCATACCTTAAGGGGGTGAAAATGAGGATGAAAGTTTGTATGGTGAATCAACCTAGGGACGAACCCGAGCGGAGCGAGGGTGAGTCGCTAGTATAGATATACGAAACTAATATAAATTTAATAACTTCTAAAAAAGTAATGTGCGATCGCCTCCACCTCTGATAAATGAGCTAGTTCGTTTTTCGATCAAAGAATTAACATTGTCAGGGCACGCAGTTAGCACTCTTACACGTGGAGATAATTTTATTAAAGGAACATAAAAAAGGTAAAAAATGTGAATCAGCAAATAATAATAAGGAAGTTTTCAAACTATAGATATTATAATAAAATTCTGATTAAATATTTTTTGGAAAATATTATTGAAATAATCATTTTTATCGATACAGAGGCCAAATCTGTAGTTTTTAGAATTTTTGTCTGTCTGTCTGTCTTTCTTTCTAAAAACCACTGGACAGATTTTAATGAAATTGGGTATAATGATAGCTGGTTATCTGGGTCATCATATAGGATACTTTTTATTGCGGGGAAATGTATTATCTCGGAGAAATCTATAGGTAGGTACTAAACGTTAAAACGTAATTAAGGACGAACCCGAGCAGAACGAGGGTGAGTCGGTAATTCAATATAAAATTAGACGAGTTCAATAATATATATTTTTAAACCCAAAAATTCAAAATGTATAATTGTAACGTAAATCAATGGAATTTAAAGACGAAAGTTAAGATTAAATATATGAAGACCAATATGTAGGTATATATGAAACAAAGTCGTGTTAGTTACACCATTTGTAACTCAATAACGGCGGGACCAATTTTTAGGATATTTGATTTTTTGGAAGTTAGCCCGGAATAGGATAATAATTATTAAAACATCCGAAAATTTAACGAAAAAAATATAAAATTTATATGGCTAACGCTGGCTAATAACTATTTATATCTTATTTAAAATGAACCCGAGCGAAGCAAGGGCGAGCCGCTAGTAAATATTAAAACGAGATATCTATTTAGTATTTTGATTTTTTCTTTTTAATTTTTTTAAATATTTGTTTCAATGCTAAAAATATATAATGCATGGACACAGAACAAAACAATTGTTTTATTTTTATTTTCCGTGTGCATGATCCTTTCATATTTGTACACAGACAATAGAAGGTTGAATTGTCTGTGTATTCGTAAAACTATTTATTTATATTATTAAATAGTTATAGACAAATAAAAGTATTACTTAAATAATTATTTTCACTTTAATTAATTATATAGCATTACCTTGTAGATAATACCTGAATATTTTTTTATATATTAATAATTTTAGCAGACTTCTTTCATTGGGTATTTCCTGATTTCCTACAAACGGTTGCTGTTATTTTTTAACACAATAAAATTAAACTCGTAGATCCCATTTGCTTTATCGAATATTCACGGTTGCAGATCCTGAATACTTTGAACCCTAAGATAGAACATTATATGGGGGCAAAGTACTATAATAGTCTGGACTTAGGAGTTAGAATTTTCCCCCCCAACGTGCGTTCACCTTGTCATGGTGGGGGGGCTCAGTAGTGCCCGGCAATACAACCGGGCGCGAAGCCAAGAAACGCACAGGGAGGTGGCCCACTTCGGTGGGCGGTGGGAGGTGGCCCTCATTGGAGGGCGGTGTACCATGCGGGTTGCTCCTGATACTTCTCTGATAGCAGAGTGGACTTTGGAACAACCCCATGGTCGTTGTGGTCTGCCTCGGCAGACCTGCCGTCGGGGCGTCGTAGTTGAATGCGTAAGCGATCCTGCGACGCCCCATTAAGACGGGGGAAGTTTTTAGTGGGTAGTACTGGCTTTGCCGGTGAGTCCCGCACCTCGTGCGTAAATGCATTTCCCAACGTTAAAAAAAAAGGAGTTAGGATTTTATTGGTGCTCCTAATACTTTCAACGCAGACGGCTAATTGAGATAGACCATTGAGAATGACATTGAATAGAACGACTTAATTTTACATTAAAATATTTTATTAATATAGCAGTTAAAAGTTATTTAGTAAAAATTAATTTTAAAATTTATTACATAAATTGTTTCACCAATATCGATTGAACATTTAACTATCATCACGTATGCGCTTATTGCTAAACAGATGTAAAAGAAAGATAACGAATAATAACAGGTAACAACCTGTAAGAAATTCTTTCCTAAACAATATTGCACTTTCTTAAAGCTAATTTTGTTATGGCTTATGATACCTTTCAATATGCAAAAAAATTAAATCCTTATTTGTAGGTTCACTGACGTGTGTGTCTGTTACAGTCTATATACAATTAAAAAAAATAAAAATGGGATTACAAAATTCAACCCTATTTACGTCCCATTGATAGAATAAATGCGAGGGCGCTTAGGCCGTAGTCCACTACGCTGGACAAATGCGGCTTAATTTACTCTACATTATGTCGTTCGAAAACATTAGGTTATATAGGTCCATACTTAATATTGTAAATGTGAAAGTGCGTTTGTTTGTTTGTCTGTTTGTCCTTCTTTCAAGTCGAAATGGAGTGACGGATTGGCTTGATTTTTTGTATGGAGATAGTTGGAGAACTGGAGAGTGACAAAGGCTACTTTTTACCGTGGGAGATTATCTCATTCCCACGGGAAAACACGTTATAATAGAATCCAAAAAATGTTTATGATAAGAATTACTTGAAACTTAGTATTAATGCTTTTCAGTATAATTAAATAAATACGTGTTTTAGTATTATTGGAAATTCATCCCCTATGGGAGTATTATAGGGGATGAAAGTTTGTATGAAATCTACCTTTTTAGAGTTTTTTTATAGTTTTAGTGCGAGCGAAGCCGCGAGTTCTGCTAGTTAAGTATATTTGTAGTTTTCTTTATAAAAATAAATTGTTTTTAAACGAGATAAATATAAAAAATAGCATAAAAATGTAAGTAAACATACATATTATTAGACTTAATATATTTTTCGCAATTTGACTTGTTTAGTGTTTTATAGTAGGTAGGTACTACCTAGATGACTACCTTGATGACAATATAAAAGGCTACCTTTCGCCACTTGGATCAACATGTTCATATTATTTGTAAAAAAAGTAAAAAAGTAAAGTTTGAGCGACAAAGTGATTTAAGCATTTATAATTTTGCCAATTTAAAACAAAAAAGGTTTTTAATTTTTTACAAGGATTCGTGACGTTATCTCAGATTTTAATCTCAGGTCTTATATTTTTTAAATAACTCATATTTTTTTCATACACAAATATGACTTATATAAAAAAACAAAAATTCTTTAACATTTTAAATATGTTTTTATTACAAGTAACTAGAAATATTTATTCATTTAAAATTCAAGTCAAACCTCTTAGTCAAAGTTTTAGTTTTTACGATAACTAAAGATTTATAAACAGATAACTAGCGACTCACCTTCGCTCGGGTTCGCGTCTAGGAAAACAAAAACAAACCTATCCCACGGGAACCGTACATTTTTCCGGGATGAAAAGTGGCCTGTGTTATTCCAGACTATAATCTATGTCTGTGCCAAATTTCCTCCAGATCCGTTCAGCCGTTCTGGCGTGAAAGGGTAACAAACATCCATACTCACAAACTTTCACATTTATAATATTAATACGGAAATTAATGAAATTAAGATTTGAGGGAACCAACCTTCTTGGTAACAGCGGCAAGTTGTTACCAAATAACCAGAGCCGTTTATCACCGAACCATTTCTCCATGCAGGACGCCACGTTGTTCCACAGCTTAAAACCTGGACAATTCGTAGACTCAGCACTATTCATTCGCGATCTTTAATCAAATCTAGCATTTGCTGCTGGATATTCTGTTTCAAATAATACTTCGCTTTTTTCTGTTTAAAATAATATTTGGGAAGAAGATTTCGCGGTTTTTTGTAGTTACAGTGATGGAACGAGATGTTGACGTCGTGAAAGCGGCACTGCTTTTACTTCTAGTGTGGAAATATATCGATCTTTCGTTTTGTTTACAGTTTCTGTTGGCCTGTGTACATGACAACCGCAGAGGGAGGGCAAATCATTGACGACTAATTGTAATTTTATTTAATTTTATTAAACCATGACTTTCACTTAGGTGAGAAAGTTTATATGGTAATGCATTATTTAGATATAAGACTGTATTATTTACATGGATGTAAATCTTAAGTAGGTTAATTTACACTTTTTATAATTTTTGTAAATCATTTGCCAAATTAGGATCCCGGTAAATAATAAATAATAATAATAAATAAATATGTTGGGATATTAACACACAGAACCATTTAGTTCCATGGTAAGTTACGAAGCTTTTGTTATGGATACCAGATAGTTGATACACTACACTATACTATATATAACTTTAAATACATACATATTATAAATATAAACAGTAAACACCCATGACTGGAGTACAAACATTCGTGCTCATCACACAAATGAATGCCCCCAGCGGGTCACGAACCCGCGACCGCTGGCTTAGCAAGTAGGGTTACTACAAACTGAGCCAAACGTGTCGTCAAATAGAACGACTAATGCGATATTTACTTTATTAAAGGTAATACTTACTAGTTTCTAAAACTAATGATATGCTGGACAAATAGACAAACAGACAGTGAATGTTTATTTTTTTTAAGATACAAGTGGCAATAGAAATTATTATGCTGCCTTGAAAACAAACAAGGTAATTTCGAATTGATTTATTTTTTTGTTATTTTGACATTGAAAAGTAATATCAGTGTCTAAATTGTTCATTAAGAAGTTGGTGATAAGTTCATCTGCAAGCTAATCTATACATATAATAAAATTGTAACTAAGCCGAATCTGTACCTACTACATTAAATATTTTTTTGGAAAATCTTATTGAAATAGACAGTATTATCGATATACCTAGCGGCCGAATCTATAGTTTTTAGAATTTTTGTCTGTCTGTCTGTTACCGCATCACAGAAAAACCACTAAAGGGATTTTCATGAAATTTGGTATGGTGATAGCTGGTTATCCGGGTCAACATATGGGATACTTTTTACCGCGGGAAAATAACTCATTTCTGAGAAAAAATAAAAAAACTGCATTGTAAGAGTATACTAATATGTAAAACCTTAGAATTTGGAATTTTGGTAATCTGAACGAGGGCGGAGCCGCGGGCAATGCTAGTTATAAGTATTATTTTAATAAAATTAACTATTTAAGTAGCGTCAAACACGAATATATTTAAACATTATATGGAAGATATGCATATAATAAACGTAACCTACATTATAATATCATTTTAGTAATTTATATGTATTTAAAAATACGCAATTCAAAAATATTATCTTTAGAGCTATCGTTTCGTCGCAACTCGCAGTGAAGTGAAGTGCGCTAGAGCCTAGAACTTAGAAGTGGTTCATTCGGCATGTTTCGAAATTCGAACCTGAACGTTAGAGATGTGCTGTTGCAATTATACTCGAGTTGATTTAGAATATCGATAATATACTTGGAAAGCAATATTTAAATTTAAAATGTAATATTGAACATTTTCATTTAATTTATTATTTTCCTAGATAAATATAATTATTAAAGCTAGAGATAATTTACAAAAACTTATTCGTATACGTTTAATAATTATAATTTTAAGATTGAAATTATACACGTTATGATAAGTTATTTAGATTAGTATTATTATTTTAACAAAAATGTTATTAAACTTTTGTACAGATAATACTAGAAATTTACTATAGTTACGCTCGAATGCCCCTCTGGGTGCCAAGCAGTAGCATATATCTTACTCTAGGGCATACTCTTGTCTATCTGTATTCTGTATACAAAATTTTATCCAAATCTGACCAGCCGTTTAAGTATAAAGGAATAACACACATACACAAAATTTTCCAATTATAATAGTAATAAGATAGCAACTTTCTAAAAATAATCATAATTATCTATTACTAGCGACTCACCCTCGCTTCGCTCGGGTTCGTCCCTAGTTTGCTTCCCAATACAAACTTTCATCCCCATTTTCACCCCCTAAAGGGATGATTTCCGACATAAAAAGTAAATCCTCTGTCCTTCCCAGGGTCTCAAACTATCTTCTTACCAAATTTCATCTAAATCAGTTCAGTAGATCCAAAGATAACTCTCCTACAACGTCACAAACTCACAAACACACAAACTCACAAACTTTTACTTTTTATAATATTAGTATAGATTAAATGAATATAAAGCTTTAAGCTGCATATTATAACATCGTTTCGAGCCGTGGCCCTTGACGTCAGTAAATGAATAAAACCGAGAATCGAATGATTTTAAAATAACACTCGATATCTTGCACCTTTACAGCGCTGTATCTGTCATCACAATCGCAAGTCGCAACATTAACTTCATTCTGTCAAATTGCGTTCCACGGAGTGGTATGTGCGTCGCGAGCTCGTCTGTTTTCCTTTCAATCAATGTTTTTGTTGTTATTGTAGATAATAAAATTATTACATAGAGCAACCCATTTCCTCAAGGTTAAACCCGCTGTGAAATATTGCAATTTCCCGTTTATAATTGGCTAATAACTCCATTCACTGCAAATTGTTGACGAAATTAGCAAAATAGTACTTTCTGTGTTGTCGAGATGAGGAGATAAGTGCTGTGCCGATTTTTGTGAAGTGAACCGATGTGCAGTTCATGTGGTCGTCGTACTTTCGCTTATTTCGTTCTTGTTTTGTGAGAATACCCAAGATAAAATGGGTTCTACGGGATTGACTTTGGCAGATTTGCCGAATATATTTATTATGATAGGTGCCCTCGTTGCACTTTTTGTGATGCTAGTCATTCTTCTCAGGTATTGTTTTCTATATTATATTTACATTATTATTTGTGCTCTCTTTAATTTACGTAATGATAAATTTTGTTCTATAATAAATGATATTTGATGTTATCATCTGATAGAGTAAATGCCAGTAATACTAATAGAAAGATAAAAGTTGTTCCTGCATGTAATAGTTACAAATAAACACTTATCTATAAAATTGTGCAATACATTACACTTTAATTTGATCATATATGATTACAATAGACTATTATAATAGTAGAAATAATATGTATTGAATAACAATAAGAACATATATACAATTGCAAATAAATGTAATATTGTATAAGCTTCTTAAATTAACAATTTATTATTCATATTTAGATAATACATATTTAAACTAAAAATTATATATAAATTTGATTTTCTAGTAGCTTCATTTTATATTTTATTGAAATCATGAAAGGTGAAAGCAATGTTAATAAATAAAACAGGAAAGTGATTGAGATAAGATAGTTTTAGAATTTCCATTATAGATAGTGTTTAATATTCTCAAATACAATAACAGCAAATGAACATTAGCATTGTTATATAACTTTAACCTTAAAAGAAAGTAAATTAATGTCTACTGTCCAGTATAATTTTAGTAGTTTTTTATTTTAACTAACTTTAGGTGACATACTGATTTTTTTATTACAAAATTTAGAATCTTATTAGAATCATGTTAAATTTAACATAATACTTTCATGAGAATTAGAAATAAAATTTTCTGTTGGAATTTTAAAATAATTTTAGAATAAGATTAACACAATACCAAAAAAAACTGTTGTTATTGATGTATTTCAAGAGTAGGTAAAGATACAAGTATTTAAATATAATATTTTAAGAAAAATATAAAATATTGTATTAGAAAATATTTTATAATATAATGATTATCAGTAATGGATGATTTATGAAAATATAAGCAATATTTTCAAACTGATTAAAATCCCACCAGTATAGCCACTAAATATATTTGTATTTTAAATCTAAATATATCTGTATTTAAGTATTCGGGGCACTTTATTGCATGTTTATCAAAAGTTGCCTGTGTCAATCTTCAGCTTAAACACAAACGGTTATCAGTATTATCAGGCAAAAATAAATAAAAAGGCAAAGAGAAATAAGGTTATTTCACTTTTTTTTATAATTTACATTGAACAAATAAAACTTTAATGTGTTGCTCTGTAAAAGAAAGATTTATTTTATGAATGACTGGAGACGTAGCCTCGCTTGGCTCCGGTACATCCCTAGGTGCGTTTAAACTTTTTTGAGTGGAACCCTAATTCGTTGTGTAAAATAAAAATAGACTAAGTTACTTCTTATAACATTGCTATTTACCAGTGAAAGTCCCGTCAAAATCAGTCTTCTTCTTCTTCTTCCTGCCCATTTCCCAAATCACTTGGGGTCGGCGCAGTACATCAGTGTACTGCTGATAGGATTTGGCAAAAGTTTTACGACCGGCTGCCTGCCTGACGTCAACCCTCCTTGGGAATCAAAATCAGTCAAACGGTCTTAAAGATTAGCACGAACAAACAACAGATAAAAAATTTAAGATTAAGTATGGTATATAATTTCATATGCATTTAATTAAAAGCTGTTATTTTGACATTACAATAATTAATAATAATAAAATAACAAATTACCCAACAATATCCTATAATTACATTTTAAATATTAATCACTTTTAAAATACAACAAGTTTCGTTAACCACAAATATAAATTAAAAAAAAACTAAAAGACTAAAGACTATAAAAACTGTGTAGTTCATTATTAAAAATTAAAGGATACAACATTCTCTTTGCAAATATGTATAATATTACAAATTTTTAAACAATCACCACATATTTATATGATGATATACAATATTTTTGTGCTAAATAAAAAATAATGAATTACAAAATAAACTGCTTACGTTGTTCTTAGTTGCTACGACTTATTAGGTTTTTAGTAGTCTAGCATTGCCCGCGTCTCCACCCGCGAGCCACGTTCAGGTGAACAAAAACCAAATTCTGAGGTTTTACATATTAGTATACTCTTACAATGCAGTTGTTGTATTTTTTCTCAGAAATGAGATACCTATTTTCCCGCGGTAAAAAGTATCCTACATGTTGACCCGAATAACCAGCTATCACTATACCAAATTTCATGAAAATCCCTTTAGTGGTTTTTCTGTGATGCGGTAACAGACAGACAGACAAAAATTCTAAAAACAATAGTTTCGGCCGCTAGGATATATATCGATAATAATGTCTATTTCAATAAGATTTCCAAAAAATATTGAATGTAGGTACAGGTTCGGCTTAGTTACAATTTTATTATATGTATAGATACATGCATGTATGTAATTACATAATTGTATTATAAAGTTCACAAAAATCATTTCATATATTGTAAAGAATTTTGATTAAAAGTTTACCTATAGGATAAACAAAGTACTTGAACAATTTTAGGTTTTTGCAGTAATAGGCTGTTGGATAGTGGGTATGATTTACTCGTAGTACTGTAAAGAAAACCTGCGTTACGCAGAATTTATCAAAATAGTTTTAGCTCTTAGTGAAATCATGCTAAATTAGTAATGCTAATATAGCTGTTACACAAAAATACAATACAAAATAATAATTAATTACAGTAATATATAAAAAATATTTTTTCTATTGAATGATATACGTAATAGACAAATATATGAGTAGGTTAAATTCCATTTGAATATAACAGATATGAAAGTTGGGATGGATGGATGTTTGTTATTCAATCACACCAGAACGACTGAATGGATCTGGATGAAATTTAGCACAGAGATAGATTACATTCTGGAATAGCACATAGGTTGTTCTTCATCCTGGAAAATGTACAGGTCCCATGGGATAGATTTATTTTTTTGTCACTAGAGACGAACCTCTATTATATAAGAATTTAATAAAGTTAATTTTTTGCAGGCAATGCAAATGACTAGCTTATTGAGATTATTTGCCAAATGTTAAATAATATTATGCAGTAAAATTTTATTTAATTCAATCCACATGTTATGTCTATGATAACATTTCTTTATTCTTATGTACACATAGAGTGATATTAAGTTAGTAATTTACATGTATAATTACTTAATATTTATTTTTACAGCACTGATATTAATTTCATGATTTGATTTTAAAATAAACTTGTGCTACATATGGAATATATGTATGTATGTATTGTATTAGATAATCATTGGCAAGTGTATTTAAATGGTAGTCAACCTTTTTTTTATTTTAAGGTCAATTTAATATGCAAACTCTTCGGTATTATCGAAATGAAAATAAAGTTCATAACTGTATAAAATTTATTACATTATAATATACTTACATATATACATATTATGTAATATAAGCATAATTGAAATTTATTCATTTATCTAAAATTGTTGATAATATTATCAGGGTTTTTAACTGAAGAAAAAAAGGAGGAGGTTCTCAATTCGACATGTATATTTTAAATTTATCAAATGAAAGAAGTAAATTATTCAATATTGGCATAAGCTTTATCACTCTGATGAATGTAGAAATTCTCATGAAAATATTTTTAAGTGTCCATCACTTATCCTATTAATGTAAGAAATGTGAAATAAGTAGTTTTTTCCATACATGTCTAATCTAATTTCTAAGCCATTAAATATATTAGGATATACAAAACTCTAGGTACGTTTTGACAGTCAGTGATGATGATGATGATGTTCTCCTAGCCGATTCCGGCTACGGCGGCCAATCTTATTGAGATTAGCCAACTGCGCAGGAGATATTATAGTGCTCAAGTGTACGCGCAGACACAAGTGCACTCTCTATTCCTATCACTCTCATATTCCGGTGGGACGACTGCTCGACACGACCGGTGAGAGTTAAGGCGCAGGACCGACGGCTTTACGTGCTCTCCGAGGCACGGGGGTGAAACACCGCCAACTTCCCAACTCCGGGCTGTTACTGAGACTTACTATACAGAAAGACTCAATATCTAAACTTGGCCCGACCCGGGACTCGAACCCAGGACCTCCGGGTGTGCAGCGGTACATGCTAGCACTACACCACCGAGGCAGTTATGACAGTCAGTATGGAATAGGTAGACCATATATATGTAGGTATGGAATATTTTATATCTCTTACGTGAGAAATGATTGATTCCCTACACAAATTTCCACACCTCCTCCCACCCTCCTCCTTAGGATGATTTTTGGGATAAAAAGTAAAACTATCCCTATGTCCTTCTCAGGGTCTGAACTATCTATTGTTTATACCAAATTTCATCTAAACCGGTTCAGCGGATTAAGCGTAAAAAGGTAACAGACAGACGGACAAAATTAATATCGCATTTATAATATTAGTACATACTTATCAATAGATTTGTACTATCATGAATGTGTTGAGAAAATAAGAAAAAAACATAATTAAAGTTAAATGTATATATTAAAGGTATCATATATTTATATTAATTTACCTACATATTATGTACTTGTTCCAGGAACATGGAATTCATAGGTATAGTCGGCGAAGGTCGAGAAGACACATGGCCGAGAGCAATGCAGCCTCCACGTCTCTTGATGCAAAGGGTTCATATACCTTTCACATTCAAATTACAAGAGAACGAACCTATTGGGTATAGCGGTAAGTTCCACATATATACATTATAATTTTATTATTTTGATATTATGTTTTAGTTATCTCTTACCTCCGCATGGAATAAAGAAGATATTTTATAAAAAAGATACGAATGTCCCGCTGAGTTTCTTTCGCCAGTTCTTCTTTCCGAACTGACAGTAGACTAATGACGTTCAGTAAAAATTGTAATAATTTAATGTTGAATAGAATATTTTGAATTTGAATATTATATTTTAATATTAATACCGTACATGAACCCTGTATTAGTAATACATGTTCAATATACTACAATATAAACAACTAGCACTTAACCTCGGTTTGCTATGAAACGTCCTTTGGTGCCTAACAGTAGTATTGCTCCAGGTCATAGTTTATCTGTGAACCTACTAACTTTAATCTAAATCCGTCCAGCCCTTTCCAATTAGACAAACGCGTCAATTTTTCTACGAATATCCTACTAATATTATAAACGCGAAAGTTTGTAAGAATGTTTGTTTGGATGTTTGTTTGTTACTCTTTTACGCAAAAACTACTGAATGGATTTTGATGAAACTTTACAATAATATAGCTCATACATCAGAATAACACATAGACTACTATTTATCCCAAAAAAATGTACGGTTCCCGTGGGATCGATTTGTTTTTGGTGTCGAAGCGAGACTAAAGCCGCTAGTAATAGATAATAACTGCTTACGGTTTCACTCGCGCGTGTATTTCTATTTAGTTATCAACGTGTAAACTCTGCCAAATATAATTGCTTGGATCAAGTCGATGGACCTACCTGGAATTTAGCATTCTTTTTAATTCGGCCTACAACATCCATATACTAATATCAAAAATGTAGAAGTGTGTTTATTTGTTTGATGTCCTTCTTTCACGTCAGAGTGACGGAATGGCATGATTTTTTAGTTGGATGGCTAGAGAGTGACGTAGGCTTTTTACACCGGGAGATTATCTTATTTTCACAAGAAAACACGTTATAATACAACCCACAACAACTCATCATACCTATGTATTTATATGACATATAGTCTATCTATTCCATACTAGCCGTTAAAATGTACCTAAGGAGTACCCGAGCAAAGCGAAAGTCTCTAGTGTATAATAATAAAAAAGTCTCATCGTAAGTCATCTCTTCGTTCTAACGGACTGACTCATAAAAAACACACACAAAAATATCAAACCTTAATTTAACTAAACATTTTCATTTTAGGTATAGATATAAATAATTTTATTTTCTACTCTGCCGTTGTCTCTCAAACTTACGGTATTGTAATAGAAAGCCCGTACATACTCTGATTGCTACAACTTTGCAAGCAAACAAGATGATTGTTAAATTCCGCTATATTCTATATCCGCTATATTTTGTATTAGTAAGTTTATAAAGTCCAATGATGATCAAAATGTACTAGAGTCTAGACGAAGTAAATATAATTTGCTGTAGCATTATTAAACATATTCAGTTATCTAAACATATAATAAAATTGTAACTAAGCCGAATCTGTACATTAAATATTTTTTGGAAAATCTTATTGAAATAAACATTATTATCGATACAGAGGCCGAATCTATAGTTTTTAGAATTTTATATAACTGAGTATGTATGTAAGTTATATTTCAAATTTAAATAGAATATTATAATCCGTTTTAGGGTTCCGTACCCGAAGCGTGCCAATGAAACCCTATTACCTTCTAAGCCTCCGCTGTCCGTCCGTCTATCAGCGGTCTGTATCTCATGAACCGTAATAGGTACAGAGTATTGCCGCTATAACAACAAATAATAGAAAACCAAGATAGCGAATTTAAAAATGACTGCCTTGCAAATTAAAAAAAAAAGATTATGCTGGTATTGGTCAGCGTGTTCAGTCCTAATTTATATAACAATAATATTTAAAAATTCCATAGTATTATATCTTGTACGATGTTACGGAACCCTTCGTGTGCGAGTCCGACTGTCACTTGACCGGTTTTTAAATTATTCGCATGACGCTTACACCACGGTAAATGGTAATGTTATAAACATTACGGTGCTTACACTTTTTTTGAAAAGAGTTATTATACAAATACATGCTTATTATAAATCTTTGTTTTAATCTTATTGTCTTTGAAAGAAGTCAAGTTCAAAAGTAAATAATAATTACATAATATCAAGTTTCGTAATACATTAATCTTCCTATGTACATCGTATGATTTAAAGTGGAAGTTTTAATGCAATTGCGATAAAAGTATATTATGATGAAATTATAATGGTTCTGTTTGTGTATTTTTTATTTTATGCCTAAGTAACCCTAAATAGGTCTATAATCTCTTCTCAGGACTGAAGCATTCGGGACTGGTAGTTTTTGACTTACTATAACAAAGTGTGTATTTCATATCTATACTAATATTATATTTATATATTTGATTTTTTGTTTCTTTGTTTGTTTGTACCGAATAGGCTTCGAAATTACTGAATCGATTTAGATGAAATTTGATAAGAAGATAGTTTGAAACCCTGTGAAGGATATAGTTTTTATCCCGGAAATCATTCTTTAAGGGGATGAAAGTTTGCATGGGGAATCAAGCTAGAGACGAACCCGAGCGAAGCGAGGGTGAGTCGCTAGTATGTAATATGCAGATTCGACATCACTAAAAAAATGCTACTTGATAGTCTTACTCATAAAGCTCTAAGTCTTATGAATCCGGAGATACCATAAGCATTTTAATCGTAACTACGTCAAAACTAGTTGTAATTTTGACGTAGTAAGTTGTAAGTTTGAAGTAGTAAGACAAAACTTCAAATATCTCAAAATCAATTTTGACGAAGTTACGGCTTTTTTTCTTATGACGGCAGAATAGCATATAATAGCAATACCCGTATAGTTTCTTTCAATGATGATGAATTAATTTCTAATCTGAACTTTATTATTAAACTGATATTTAATTACTATATTCAAAAATAACTAATATTTTGTTAAATTACAATTTTTAAAACAACATTTATATTTTGTTAAATTAAAATTTACAATTTTCTCTAGTTAAAATTCTAAATTAATAAGTAATGCCGTTTGTTTCTGTGTTTTCTCTCCTAAAGGCAGATTTTTTTAGTTTTTATACCTTTTGAAGCCTGCGTGTCCGAATCGGTATCGGTTTTGGAAATACTTTTTTATAAATATCGGTATCGTATCGGCAGAAGTGCGTATCGATGCATCCCTAGTAAAAAGAAAGGGCGCGTATTATTTGACGTAATTTTTTTGACGTCAAGAACCAATTTATCTTTCTTTTAAGCAAATGATTATTTATTCGCTATCAAGATGGAAAAACCAAATTAAAAAAAATAAAATTAATAATAGATAAGTACTGTTCGTCACATGTTACCAATTATCCAATACCAATATTGAACTGTAGAGTTGTGATAAAGTTTAAAGTTTTAACATGTATGTACTATAATACTTTCTTAGATTTACGCGAATATTTGACATTTTAAATAAAACTATCTTTTCGGATTATTTCGGGGATTTATTTTGATTTTTGGTTCCCGACGTTTCTGTCTCCCGTGACCATGATTGCTGTAAAGCATTCGAAACGTCGGGATCCAAAAATCAAAATAAATCCGCGAAATAATTCGAAAAGATATTTAAAATGTATGTATTATCTAACTGACCGTGATAGAATTGACCCATATTCGATCAACGCGATGGTTAATCAGACAGAAAATCGAGCATTGAAATGTTATTCAAGAGAGATAACGTATCGTCTTATATATTTTCCCTTGACCTATAAATAATCGATTAACAAATATTAAAAAAAAAAACTATTTATATAATTACAACTAAATTTAGTTCCAATTATTGTGGTAATAATTTAACATAATGTCTATATAAATGATTCACTCATGACATCATAAATAATTGTTATGGATAAAACGTGATGATTTATATTTATGACAGGTAAAAAGTTAGATTTTCTCGATGATCATAATATTTAGAATCGCCGCTGTCGTTATATATTTTTTTTATCATAAACTAACTCGCTCACCCGAACGAAGCGAACGTAAACTTTTCTATGTACATTTTAATTTTTTTGAGCGGGACCCTAATTCTTTTTCTAAAATAAAAGTCATCTAAGTTACACCTTATAACATCAGCTATCTGCCAGTGAAATTACTGTCAAGATCAGTCCAGCCGTTTCGGAGATTAGTCGAAACAAACAGACAGCCAAAAATTTTAAAAATTATATTTTTTTTATAAGTACCGTATATAATTTCATATGCATTTAGTAAAAAGCTTTTATTTTGCCATTACAAATAGACACTTCCATTTTTTTATCTGTTTAGATTTATATAAGCATTCGATCAATGGTAATGGCAATTATTGACCTTAGGTACGCTATGGCGAGTCACTACTATTTTTTTTTTATAAAATACAACCTAGACCTATTGAAAGCTGTTTTAGAAATAAGGCCGCCACTGGACATTAAGTTTTATAATTTGTCACTTGTTGAGCAAATCAGATTTATTTAGTAGTACAGAAAAAGACGCACTTCATCTTTTGCAAAATGTCCTTCTTAGTAAGAAATTATTTTCTATACATATAATAAAATTGTAACTAAGCCGAATCTGTACATTAAATATTTTTTGGAAAATCTTATTGCAGAATACAGATAATCTTATCTTATACAGAGGCCGAATCTACTGGAGGGATTTTGATGAAATTTGGTATGGTGATAGCTGGTTATCCGGGTCAACATTTAGAATACTTTTTACCCTGAGAAAATATCACATTTCTGAGAAAAAATACAAAAACTGCAATGTAAGAGTATATATATTCAGCCTTTTTAACGACCAACTGCTGGGCCTCTCTTCAATACGAGGGGGATCAGGCCATAATCCACCACTCTGGCCAAGTGCGGGTTGGCGGACTTCACATGTCTTTCGAAAACTTACTAGGTTCTCTCAGACATGCAGGTTTCCTCACGATCTTCCATCACCGTAAGGCAAGTGGTAATCATGTTAGAAATGATTCGCA